AAGAAACATTGGAATTAATCTACAGAAAGTCTGATCAGAACTCTAATGTTATCTACCAAAACAACTAGACAACTAACTTGATGAGCATAGAATTAACACTTCAACTCTGTGGATATGTATAGAATTAAGAACTAGGACAAGGTAATCTTTAACCGTTTCCGCTCATTTTCTTATATATTTATATTCAATCATCATGTATCATTATAGCATACCAAGTGAATTTTCCCTTCATGAATACACTGCACCTTGTTTCAGTCAAAGATATTACCATACACATTATCAACAGATAATTTCCATTTTTGTAATTCTTAAATGTTTTACTTCTTTCTTTTTCCCCAAAGTAAACTTTTGGTAATCATAATAACAAAAAAGTAACAGAGCAACATCTGAAAAAAATATACTTAAAAGCAAGATATATTGAAAATGTATTTGACTATGAGAAAATGTTAGTTGTTTTAAATAAAAATGTAAACAAAATTTAGAGCAAACCATTAAAAATTGGAGATACTTTAAAATATAAATTTGACTACATATTTGCATAGTTAAATTTCTAAGTTGTAGGATAAAAACAATTTGGTTCTCTAGTGAGAGAAATATGGATTACATGGAAGGTCAACATGATTTTAGTCACAAATTGGATTAATAGCTGGTTCCATGGAACTTTGTAGGGGTTAAGTATAAAGGTAAATGTAACTAGCAATTTAAAATTCACTTGTTCAATTATTCTTTTCCAGAATGAATAATTGCGAAAAGATAGGGAGATCCTTCTGTCTTTTCTCTGACAGACTGCCTGGAACCTGGAAGAAAAAAGAATGACTTCTGCCTGGAACCTGGAAGAAAGAATTGTTCAAAGAGCTGAGTACTCTTAGAAGTTAGTAGATCCTAACAAAGCAGGGACAGCCCTAGCCATGCAATGACGCCTGCAGGGAGCTCAAGATCAGTCCTGATCTTCAGTGGCCTCAGTCCAGAATCCAGATTTCTATGAGGACTGAACCATGTTTTCTGACTTCTCTAAGGAGAGAGAAACTAATTTAAGTATATAAACATTTGCTTGAATAACATGTTCAAATAGACCTAGTGTGTTTTTTGTTTATGAGTATAAATAACTGGGTTTTAGACATATAAAATTTACATACAGGATAATATTTTTGTTTAGTTCAACAATCATTTTCTAAGGTATGCTAGATAGTTTCCATGTGGAAGTACAAAACGAATAAGGTATGATTTCAACATTTAATCGTTTTTTATAATTAGCACAACTTCTATTTATATTCCTTTTGTAGATGAACTCTCTTACTTTAACATCTTCTCTTCCAAACAGTTTAATTTCCTTTTTACAACCATGCATATTATTGTTTAACATAAGTACTGTAATATTATTATAGCAACTGTCATGCACTTGACATTGTCCTGGGCTTATTTACAAAAAATAAAATGTCATTTATTGATCAAATATCTTTGCATTATATGTGTAGAAAGTGACTGTCTCAGTCTATTAGTGTGTTGCTAAACAGTAGTAATTGAAAAACTGGATATTTTATAAAGAAGAGATCTATTTGGCTTATAATTTGGGTAGCTGCAAAATTCAAGAGCATGGGGCAGGTATCTGGCTGGCTTTGGTGTACGTCACAACATGGCTGGGAGAAGCAGGTGGGTCAGCAGCCATCTTCCTTTTATAACAACCTGCTCTCATAAAAATTAACCTTTTTCTACAACAGCAAGAACTGACTCTAGCGAAACAGCATTTATTCACTTATGAGGGCAGTGCCGCCATGACCCAAATATTACCGCTAGTTCTCACCCTTTGAAGGTCTCACTACTTTTCAATGCCTTTACATTGGGGACCAAATTACAAAACATGGACCCTCAGAGGACAATTATTACCAAACCATAGTGATAACTAATGCAAGATGATTCAATTACAGCACAATAGAGACAGGAAGTTACTAGCACTAAAAATTAGAATTCGTGGGACCAGCAATTAGCGTAATGGCTATGTCTCTGGACTCCCACGTAGTTGACCGCGGTTCACGTCCTGGACCCGGTGGCTTAAAACTCATGCCGGCGCGTGTGCATGCGTGCCCAAGAATCCGAGAGGAGAATGGAGGAGAAGGGATTGCGGCGTGGCCATCCCCCCTGGGGGGTGATTTCTTGCTTTCTGTCTCTCTGTCTCTCTCTGTCTGTCTGGAGAGCTCACGTGCCCTACAGCAAAAACCTCTTAAAAAAAAAAAAAAAGAATTCGTTTGACTAATTTTGTTTACTAAAATTCATTAGATTCATTTTCTCAGAAAAATAAAAACCAGATTTTTTTGTTTGTTAACAAATGATTACATGTTGTTTGCTCTTTTACTATATCGTAATTGGGCTACAGATGATGGCTGACTGTGAGATTCTAGTTTATTTTCCACTAATGTAATGATTGTGAGTACCCATAGGACTGAAATTTAAAGCTTGGGTTCAAATTTGACTGTGTCACATTCTTGTTAGATGACCTTAGACAAAGCATTGAACTTTTCTGTACTTCATTATGGATCTAAAAATTAGTTCGTTTTTATGTATTTAACATAGAGAAAGGTCTTATTGCTAAATGCATAGTTCATTATTATTATTATTATCATTAAATAATAACAACCTTTGACAGATTCACAATGTGATTGGGAAGTAAGTTCATAGGGTTCTTGTGAACATTACATAATACTATTTAGACCAAGGCTGGGCAATAAACATCAGCAGCTATTATTGTAGTAATTGAATATGATTAATAACAGATTAATCACATAAGTCTCACATGCAAACCTCATCTATGTTGTATTCACTTCGACTTTACTTCAGAGCTCTGTGTCATTCTGTTCACCTTCCAAGACAGAAATATTAACCTTGAAGGTGTTTGTTTTATTTTTTTTCTGACAAAATGAATCTAATGTATTTTAGCCAACAAAATTAGTCAAACAAATTCTAATTTTCAACCAAAAAGAGTGTAATGTACAGCAATACATGACACATGATAAAACTCAAGAGGCAAACTTTGTCATCAGTAAATACGCAGTAGTGAGTGAAATTATTTTTAAAGGTTACCCAAATAAACTGCCCCTTTCCTGCTAAGATACATTTGCTTGACTTATATTCTTATTCTTCTTCATTTTCTTTTCTTTTCTAAAATTTTTATTTATTGTTGTTGTTGTTGTTTAGTTGTACCAAGTGTGTGCTCCCTGGAGAGCAACAGAGGGAAAGTGAGAAATCACCCCCGTGGGAGAATAGCCACACTGTGATTCTTTTTCCTCTATTCCCCCCTCGGGATTTTGGGCACACATGTGCATGCACCAGCGTGTTTTTTCAAGGCACAGGATATAAGACTTGAACTGCACTGTTGGCCATGTGGGATCCACCTTCCTTAACCACCAATGCCACTGACTAGACCCCTGCCTATTTCCTTTAAATTAACAGCAGTACATTTCCAGAATTTTCATGCTGGAGATGCAGTTGGAATGGATTGGTGGTAAGACCGAGTAAGCAATAGCTGACTTGTCTTTTATTTATTTTTTTTAATAAAAGATAGACTTTTAAAAATAATTAATTTTATATTCATTCACTGAGCATAGTCACAACATACAAATGTGATTTCCTATCCAGAATACATTGCACAGTGGCTTAATCATACACATTATCTTTGATAATTTTCCATTTCTAGTTCTAACTACTTTCAATAGCAAGGTCTGCTGATATATACATATTTATGAATACATGTCTGACTTTAGGCGTGAAACTCTGAGTAGAATGAATATACTATAATGTAGCACCTAGCTGATGCTATATAGCTTACTGCAGTCATTAAATAGGTATTTTTTAATATAATATATTTTTTAATTTCAAGAAAAGCAGTTTTAACTTTAATAAGTCAAAATCAAAGAAATGCTAAGAGACCTTTGCTTAAAACTTAAAGCCAGGAAACAGAATAGGAATCTGTTCAAATAGTAGGTACATGAATCTATAGGAGATTCAAGACAAGACAAAAATCCTTAAATATAGGAGAGAAAAAGCCTAGAAGAAAATCAGTAATGTTTTAGTACAAAGTCATAAGATTCTACTTCACCAGTTCAATCTCATGTACAATAAAATATTTATATTTTAATTTTAAAAAGCAGAAAATGAAAGGCACAAATTTGTACAATAAAGGAGGGGCTTGAGAGCCCAGAGAATACTTTACCTTAAAAAAAAAAATAGAAATAAGATGAAAAGCTATAGGGAGACACAGAAACAGAGAGAGACAGAGAGACAGAGAGAAGGATAAAGAGGTAGCCCTACCCACTAGAAATAAATTTGGAGGGAGACATCTCAGCAGGATATCTTCATTTTCAGTCCCTGAAAGCAATTATTTCACAGTTGAAGTTCAGTGGCCATCTCAGGATGGGCCTGGATTTGCACCTTTCCTCAAAGGGAGTGGGAAAGGCACAAATTAGCATGACAAAGGAAGGGCTTGAGAGCCCAGAGAATACTTTACTTTAAAAAAAAAAAAAAAAAAAAGAAAAGAAAAGACACAGGGAGACACAGAGAAACAAAGAGACAGAGAGATAAAGAGAAGGATAAAGAGGTAGCCCTACCCACTGCATTTCGAGTCCTGGACCTGACAGCTTGCTTTCTCATTTTCCCTCTCTTTCACTCTGTCCCTCTCTGGTCAAATTGAAATAAAAAAAAAATATAAAGCTAAATAAATAATAATTCTTTAAAAAAAGAAAGAAAGAAAGAAATGAATCTAGAGGGAGAAGTCTCAGCAGAATATCTTCGTTTTTAGTCCCCAAAAGCAGTATTTCACAGCTCAAGTTCAGTGGCCATCTTCTAAAAGGTAGACCTTTAATCATTGCTTTTAACAACAGGTTAAGTCATGCAGTTACAAAGTAGTTAGACCTGTCCAAAAGGCTATTACTATTTACATTATCTAGTACTTCATTGGAACACTATTGTTGAGAAGGCCCTGGCCAAATAACTCTCAAACAAAACAAAAAAATAATATGGAATGCTTCACAAATTTGCATGTCATCTTTATGCAGGAGTCAAGCTAATCTTCTTTGTATCATTCTAATTTTAGTCTATTTGCTGCCAAAGCAAGCACAGGTGATTTGTCTTGAATTATGTTCACACAGGAAACACAAAGTACATTTCTTGTAGATTGGGTACAATTGATGTTTATGAAAGGCTAGCGTGCACTCAAAACATCCCTAGGCAATCAATTAGTTTTATACTATCAAGTGTAAAACTAAATAACTCTTTGTTTACATTATATTTTACATATTATGCTTTGAAATAAAAATGTTTCTTGTCTTATAATAATTATACTTATTCACTTATTACTAAACTAGAAAGAAGAACAGTAAGAAAGAAAGTAGAGAACTGATATTCAGCCACAATTCTTGTAATTATTTGTTAGGTGATCTGGTAAGTCATTTAATCTCATTCTCCTCATTTCCCACTCTAAAGTGACAAAAATGTATAGACAGATCTGAAAGGCCCATTCTACTCTCTTCTACCCTTTGAGCTGACATTTTATATTTATATTTGCATATATGTGCAATTTGTAATACTCTGTTTTTATTAATAAGTGGAAAATGTTATATGTAACTAAGAAAGCAATTGAATGTCACAGATTATCTTAATGATTTCTAAATGAAAAAAGCAATACATTACAAAATGCATTGTTACATTGGTTACAAAAGAAATGATCTTGGGAACCAGCAGTTAGCGTAATGGCTATGTCGCTGGACTCCAACGTTGTCCACCACGGTTCGTGTCCCGGACCTGGTGGCTTAAAACTCACGCCGAGCGCGTGTGCGTGCGTGCCCAGGATCCCAAGAGGAGAATGGAGGAGAAGGGATTGTGGCGTGACCATCCCTCCTGGGGGGTGATTTCTCGCTTTCTGTCTCTATGTCTCTCTCTGTCTGTCTGGCGAGCGCACGCGCCCTACAGTGAAAATCTCTCCAAAAAAAAAAACAAAAAGAAATGATCTTTTCTCCAAAGTGGTCCTTTCATGTATATTATATAATACAAGGGTCTTAAATGAGACATTATCAGAGACCAAAGCTAAATCTTCATTTTCTTTTCATTGGAACTATGTTCCTAGTTGCCATCTATATCATATCAGGCAAGTGATTATTTATTTATAAAAATGGAGCTTTAGATTCTTGGACCATTTGATTGAATAAAATGTGTTTGTGACTGAGGAGGTATTACGGATCCCAAAGAAGTAATCATCTTTGCACATAAAGTTTAAACAGAGATTAAATGTACAATTGAAAGTTATTGAAATTGAAAAGCATGTAGTACCTTGAAAACAATAGTAAGACAATATTCTGATTAATTAGAGCCAAAGAAAGAGCGTCCCCTTCATTGCTGTGTTTTTCAACTCACATGAGTGTGGCAATAATATTTAAATTGCCAGTCAAGATGTTTGACAAACTGATCATATTAATGAGTCTTAGACAGTAATGAAAGGATGTGCCTGGCATACTTGTTTGTAATATTTGCCAGACTTATAAAAAGTCCAAGTTACATCATATTAACATTAATATACATGTCACTATAAACATAACAGATTGGCCATTTCTAGTTGTAATGACCAATCATAAAACTGCCTAACTATAAAGCTCAATATGCAATGTGAATTTTTTTGAAAACATTAAGAGAAAAATATCTTGTTCAAATGTCTCCTTAAAATGACATGAATATGGGGGCTGGCTGGTGGCATGGTGGTTAAGGCATTAGACTCCCACATGGCCAACTGTAGTTCAAGTCCTGGATCTGGTGACTTGATTTCTCAGTTTCTCTCTTTCTATCTCTTTCTGGTCAAATTAAAAATAACTCCTTGGTTATCATCAAAGACATTTAAAAATTATGTTTTTAATAGAAGAATAATTTATAGTCTTTAATCTCTATTAGCATAAAACCAGTGCTGAAGTTATTTTCCTTGCTGGTTTTTGAAACATGTTTATCATGACTCTTTAAATATGCCTTATCAGCTGTGTGTAAATTTAAACCTCAGAAAAATTTCTTAATAGTGCCCTTATAGCTGGTTCTGTGTTCATGTAATACTATATGAAAATTCTTCCATGCATTATAGAAAGTGAAATTAAAAGTTTATTCAACAAATACTAACAGTACAATCTTCAGTTCAGGCCTTGTGACTATTAGTAAAAAAGATATCCCTCAGCCACCTGGAGCTTAGAGATAAATGAATGTTAAATGGAGAGGGGGAGAACAATTTTCTACACATCTTTTACAATTCAGATCAGATATAATTTTCTTTCTTTCTTTTTGTTTTGAGAGGTTTTTGCTATAGGGTGTGTGCGCTCTCCAGAAAGACAGAGAGAGATATAAAGCGAGAAATCACCCCCCAGGGGGAATGGCCATGCAATCCTTTCTCCTCCATTCTCCTCTCAGGATCTTGGGCACCCACACACACGCACCCGGAATGAGTTTAAGCCATCGGGTCCAGGACTCGAATTGCGGTCGACTACATGGGAGTCCAGTGACATAGCCATTATGCTAACTGCTGGTCCCTCAAATATCATTTTCTTAAGGAAATCATATAGGGCACACTCAAGCAGCTCAGTGCCCCTTTTATACCTAATAGCAGTCTATACTTCACTATATTTGTAATTTAAATTACAATTAAATAACTGGGTTATAGTACTTTAATGTCTGTTTTCTAGCCAGCTATTAAGATCTTTAAGAACAGAAATGGTTTATTTTGATATTATGCTTTATCTTCAAAGGCTAGAAATTGATTAGCACAGTTAATGAACTCAGTTTCATTTGATTCTATCAACAGTATATTTACAATCAAACTAATTAATAGAGCCACACAAGTTTTCTTGACTGATAGCTGTTTTATCTCAGCCCTTTGAATACAGCATTCTACTGCCTTCTGGCCTCCATGGTTTTTCTCTTGAGAAAGCAGTTGTAAATCTTATTGAGGATCCCTTACATGATGAATCACTTCTCCGTTGACACTTTCTGGATTGTCCCTTTATCTCTTGACAGTTTGACTCTGATGTATCAGGTGTAGATTTCTTTACATATATCTTACATGCAGCTCATTGAGCTGCTCAGACATGTAGATTAACATTTTTCATCAAATTTGGTAAATTTTATTCCATTATTTTCGTAATATTTCTTCTACCCCTTCTTTCTTCCCTCCCTTTCTGAGACTCCTATTATGTATATGTTGGTACACTTGATGGTATGTCATTGGTCTCTGAAGCTCTGCTAATTTTTCACTATGTTTTTCTATTGTTCAGACTAGATAATACCAATGGATTCATAGTCAAGTTCATGTTTCTTTCCCCTGCTTGCTCATATCTACAATTGAGACCCTTTAGTGCATTTTTCATTTCAGTTACTGTTCTTTTCAATTCTAGTGTTACTATTTGATTTTTACAATATAATTCCTAGATCTTTAGTGATAGCGTTCACATGGAAAATATTGTTCTCACGGCATTTTCTTTAGTTCTCTATCCAAGGTCTACTTATTTATCAGAATACATTTAAAATAGATGTATTAAAGTCTTTTCTTAATCATCTAACTATTAGAGATTCTATTAATCATCTAACTTTTTTCTTTCTATGTATGGGCTATTCTTCACTGAACATTTTAAATAATGTAAATTTTCCACTTTGGGAATCAATTCCATACCCTAATGTTTATCGTTTCCCATTTGTCTTTGTTATTATTTATTTAATTAACTTTTCTAAACTAATTCTAAGTCCATATTATTTGTCCTGCATAGTCATCGAGTCTTGGATCAGTTGTTTCAAAGGACAGTAATGACCAGACAGAAATTTCCTTAAATGCTTACAGGCAGTAAATTCCCCAGCTTTAGCTAAAAGGAACTGAGTGTTGGGGCATGGCTTCAATGTTCAGGCATGTAGTTCACAACTCTGCTTATGTAAAAGCTTATAGGAATCCTCCAGGTCTGCCTGAGTAGGAGCTTAAGTTCTGCAGGATCTTTTAGGCATGCAAATAGCCCTGGGTATGGACTCATGTGGCCTTCTGGATTACCAGGAATATATCAGAGCTTTACAAAACTCTCTATGGACATTTCATACTCCAGTTCACTCTTTAAAGCTTCTTTGGTCAGTTTCTTTGCCCCAACTGGTAGTACTGCCTCAGGCAGCTGTAATGATAAATAATTATCACTGATTGTTTTTGACAACTGTCTTCTGGGGAACGGCTGCTTACACTAACCAGAGTCAAGACAAATACAGACTAGTCTATGGACAAGGTTTTTCACGGGAAAGTCAGACAGGTCAAATCACACTTCTCCAAGAATGGAGCTTTGAGAGAGCTTCATGTTTATGGGGCGGTTAGTTTTTAAGGCTCCGTTAACATGTTCCTCATGTTTTGACCCTGAAGGGCTTGCTGACCCAAGAGAGACTGCCTCTCCCAGGGATGATCAATTCCTAGAGATAAGTTACTCATTAGAGTGTACCTAATTTACAGAAACCAATCAATTCAGAACCTCTGTCCAGTTCCTTGTTTGTTACCCTGCCTTAACCACTTCATGGTGAGGTACCAGACAACTGTAACAGTAGCTCCTTTACTCCAGAGCCTGCTGAAATTATTCAAACTGGACAATCTTAAACCAGCTTCCCCTGCCTTGCCCATTCAATGAAAAGCCTCAGCAAGGACTCTTGCAATCTACCCCACACTCTGCCTCCTGACCCACCCTGGTGCTTCCCTTTGTGGCTTGGTGAAAAATGGCATGGCCCTCTTCTGAGGAACTTGGAGTAACAAACTTTATTTTCAAGGTAATCCCTTATTCATCTGTTAGCCTCACCATACAGGACTAATAATAAAACCTACGTTTAAGATAAAGATTAATGTGGAACTTGGTAAGAGGGATGGTAACAGAGAAGTCAGAAAAACACAAAAGTCACGGTTCTAACAACCAAGATTTGGCTGGTTTTCTTGTCCACGTGTTCCTCAGGTTTTCACAAGCCTTTGATTAACTTTTAAGGTTCCGAAAGTAATTTTCCAGTTTTTGCCAGTGCTCTTACTGATTTTTATCAGGAAATAGGTTTTTAGAGGTCCTTATTTCCATGCTCCTACTAAT